TCAATGTAATTTCTACTTTTCATCTTATTACATTTCTCAAAAATAAATAAATAGATAAATAAATAAATAAATACACATTTATTTTTCCAGCTTCTTCTATGAAACACTTTCTTCCTTAGGTTTTTTAAAGCCTCCAAGGGTCTCCACCTATATATTTGATTATTTCTCTCTCTCTCTCTTTTTTTTTTTAAACTTTTCTGATTGTCATTTAAATGGTAGAAGTTCTCTTCAGAGTTTGTTTGTATCCTAAATATTCTTTCTAAGGGATGATTGTGCACTTTTTAGGTTTCAGTTCCCAATTTCATGCTTGTAACTTCCAATTCTATATCTTTAATCTAGATTTCTACTATTGATCCAAATTCTCAACTTCTTGCTGGCCATTATGTTGCCAACATGCTAAACTAAATATAGTCAAGGACAGTCTTAGTATATTCCTCTTAAACCTCCAGGCTTCCTCTTGTTCTTAATTCATTCAAGAACAATGATTAATTATCATTTTGCTTTCACCAAGCTCTTGGCTATCCATCTTTCCAAATATCTGTAATCCTATTATATGTTTTTGCCATTTTCAGACTTATAGATAATCTTTATTCCTTCACTATTAGATAATGTAGGAGGTCTGGTAGCATAGGCCTAAGGCACTTGACTGATAACCAGAAGGCTGGTGATTCAAACCCACTAGTCACTCCTCAGAAGGAAGGATAGTCAATCTACTTCCGTAGTGATACCACCTCAGAAACCCAAGGAGGGGTCACTATGAGTCAGGACCAACTCGACAGCACATAACAACATTAGATAATGTCAAACAATACAAGTCAGAGTACATAACTTCTATGCTCAATAACCAACAATGACTCCCATTGCCAAGACAGAAAATTCACTTAATCAGTGAATTAAGCCACCTTGATCTGCCCCCAAAAAATATTTTAGCCCCATTTTCTACTACATCAAACATGATGGTTTAGCTGAACCAGCCTATTTACCATTATTTATGTATTTTGTGTGCTTTCATATCTTTTTACTAATTTCTCATATTTTCCCCTTTGTTTTGAATGCACTCATAAATTTTGCTTATTGACACCATCTCTAGCTTTTAAGTCCCAGGTCAAATGAACCTTCCACAATTATTTCCCAGATATTTTTCCCATTTCTAATTCCTGATTGAGTTCTTCTCTTTCTAAATCATGTTCGTATTTGTATTTAGCATATGTGTTTTTTGGCCATAAACTATACTTGTTTTATCAAATCATTGTCGTTTTCATTTAACCCCATCCACTTCCATACCCATGTTGTAAATCTCTCAGTTTATTTAAAATAAATTTTCATATGTGGGTTCCTAATAGAGTGTTTAGCATTGAATAGGTGCTCGATAAATGTTGACATAACATAGCATATAAATTCAAGGCAATTTTGGACCGACTCTACTATAATCATACATGATTAGACCACTCAATTAACTAACTTTAAGAGATAAATGTATGATCTTTAGGATCTAATTTAATGAGTAAGAAATTACACAGGAGAATGGTAATTCTCATCTTAAAGTTATTTCATTGATTTATTGATTCATTCGTCCCACAAAATTATAAGAAACTTTCTGTACCTGTATGCTAGAATGACCCAAAAAAAAAAAAGTATGCCTTAGTTTCAACCACCTATTCCCTGACTAAAAACAAATTCATTGCCTTCAAGTCAGTTCTGATTCATAGTGACCCCCATTGGATTTCTGAGGCGGTAAACCTTATGGAAGTAGATTGCCCCATCTTCTTTCCACAGAGCACCTGATGGGTTTGAACCACCGGTCTTCTAATTAGCAGTCAAATGCCTTAGGCACTGTGCCACTAGAGCTCCTGATTTTACAGTGAGAATTAGAGTACTCATTAAGAACATCAGCTCTGGAAACAGGCTAACTTTGTTTTAAATGCAGCTCCATAATATATTTGCTATGTAATATTGGACTAACTATCAAGCATCAGTTTTTTATCTGCAAAGTGTAAAATATCTACATGTTTTATTGTTACAAGGTTTCAGAGATTGCACATGTATGTTGCTGCTGTCATTAGTTGCCATCAATACCTGATATTTAATAGATTTTTTAATGTACAGCTATGTCTGTGTTTGTATGTATGTGTATATGTGGAGCAATCAAAATAAGGTGAAGAATGTATATCAGAAAGAAAGTATCATCATCTGTGTCAAATACTGCTGATAGGCAGAATAAGATGAGACCTAAGAAAAGGCCACTTATTATCATGGAGGAAATTAGAAACAATTGCATGAGCACTTTCTATGAAGCAGTGAATTTGAAAGCCTGATGGAATGGGTTTAAGATAGAAACAGAGGGGGAAAAGAGATAATAGCTCTGGACAAGGTTTTTTTTTTTTTTTTTTTTTTTTTTTTTTTTTTAACTTGATTGCAAAAAGGAACAGAGGAATTAGAAAAATAAAGTCAAGGTATTTTGTTTGTTTTTTCTTTAAGTGAGGAAAAATATAATAATGTTCATATAGCTCTGGAGGCATAGTACCTAAGGCAGTAAGGCATTTGACTGTTAACCAGAAGGCCAGTGGTTCAAACCTACCAGCCACTCCTGGGAAGGAAGACTGGACAATCTACTTCTGTAGAGATATTGCCTGGGAAATCCAAGGAGGGGTCACTAGGAGTCAAATGGACTCCACAGCAGTGAGTTTGATTTGGTTGGTTTTTGTACTGAGAATGAGCTGATACAAATGTCAGGATTTTTTAATTTTTCTATAAAGAGTACAACAATAAATATTTAGGTTTTGAGAGCCATATATGTCTGAGGTAACTATTCAGCGCAACCTTTTTTATTGTGAAAAGATCCATAGACAATGTGCAAACAACCGGGCATGGCTGTGCTCTAATAAAGCTTCATTTACAAAAGGCAGAGGAACTCTAGTTTGCCAACCCCCTAATCTTAATATGCATAGAGTAGTGGAGAAGACCTTAAATAATATTCTTGCGTAGATGAGAGATGATTCATAGCCAGGAGGAATCTTGGTAAGTTTAACCAAGTTTGAAAGTCAAGAAGGATAAGAATATATGTTTTTTTAAAAAAAAAAAGTCACTGCCATGGAATCGCTGAGACTCACAGCAACCCCTCCTTGGGTTTCTGAGGCGATATCTCTACAGAAGTAGATTTCCCAATCTCCCTTCCAAAGTGTGGCAGGTGGTTAACAGTCAAATACCTTAGGCACTATGCTACCAGAGCGTCCAAGAATATGTGTAGGTGAATAAGAAAAAAAAAAAAACTTTCCTACTCATGGTAACCCTTGTGTGTTTGTTAGAGTACAATTGTGCTCCATAGGTTTTTCAATGGATTTTTCAGAAGTAGATCACCAGTTAGATCAAAGCACTTATGGATACACTTGATCATCAAAAAAACAAAAAACAAAACCAAACTCACTGCCGTGTAGTGGATTCCGACTCATAGCAATCCCTCCTTGGGTTTCTGAGGTGGTATCTACGGAAGTAGATTGCCCAGTCTTCCTTTCCAGGGAGTGGTGGATGGTTTTGAACTGCTAGCCTTGTGGAAAATATTTTCTGATTGTTTCAATTTTCTCAGAGAAGTAGGAAGCAAAATCATCACATATAAGTAAGAATAATGAAGGCGGCTTGGAGGTTTAACAAGAGAGACTAATATAGTTGTATGAGAGAATTGCATAGCAATTGACCTAAGAGAATATTATATAATTAAATTTTAGTAAAATATACAATTCTCAAATTGAGATGTTCACATACTCTTTTCCACATTATACTTTTACTTTCGTTTTTATGTTTTATTATAATGTTTCTTTTTTTCTGAAGCACCAGCTAAAAATATAGCAACTATCACCATTTTAAAAATCATTTAACTTTAATCTTTAAAACTCTGTCATATTTTTTTTTCCCTAAGGGGAAAAGAGAAAACAACACTGTTGTCATAATCCATTAATGACCCTATTTTTAGACGGCAGGATCAGTCACATTCTATCCAAATATTTTTCTAGTTTGTTGTTGTCCATTGTGTGCCATTGAGCCAGACCCGACCCATAGCGACCCCTCCTTGGGTTTCCCAGGCAGTATCACTACGGAAGTAGATTGCCCCATCTTCCTTCCGGGGAGTGGCTGGTGGGTTTGAACCGCCAGCCTTCTGGTTAGCAGTCAAGTGCCTTAGCCACTATGCTACCAGAGCTTTTCTAGTTTAGCAAATCTTATTCCTGTTAGAAATTATTTGTGCAATGAATATGCTCCTGTCACTTCATTGCTATTTCATACAGTTAGCATAAACCAAAAAACCAAACTCACAGTTGTGGAGTTGGATCCGACTCATAGCAAGCCCTCCTTGGGTTTCTGAGGCTTTTTTTTTTTTTTTTTTAATCACTACAGAAGTAGATTGCCCAATATTGAATTCTAATTTGCTCTGTGGGTTTGCTAAGTTTTGTTACAATGATGTATTTGTTTAAAATAGTTCAGATAGAATGAAATATATTATGCCCAGTATTTGTCCAATATTATGCTACCAATGGAAAATAAATTATTGAAATGGAATGTATGTGCATTGATTGGTGTGAAGGTTACACATGGATTGGTAAATCAAAACAAGCCCTCAAAAGATAGAAAATCAATAGATGTGTCAGATACAAAAGGTACATGTGGTGAAATCAACTACTGAGTTGACATTTTTCCTCTCAAAATAATTTAATTTACCAGAATTTGAAAGGATTTGAGACTTTGAATGTAGGTAATAAGTTAAAAAGTCGAAGACCAAATAGATTGTTCATAAATTTTATTAAGAATGCCTCATAAAAATGTGAACCAATGTATTTTAGAAAGAATAAATATTGTTTCTTCTGTAGATTGACCACAGAAATTTTCTACAAGATTAATCAATGCTATATTATTAGAATGTATGCCTTGAATAAGTATAAACAATATTTAAATATAAACATTTTATATCTGAGCACAATTAATATAGAGAATATGTTTGTTTTCCTCTACAGAGCTGTTACCCAATTGCCAACAATTGAATTGTCAATATAAATGTGCAATCATCAGAAATAGTACTAGATGTTACTGTGAAGATGGATATGAAGTAAAAGAAGATGCAAGAAGCTGTAAAGGTAAATATGACATAGGCCTCTCTATGCTAATTGATATATATTTATGGAGGCTTAACCCACCGCCTTCAAGTATATTCTGACTCATGGCAGACCCTATAGAAGAGACCAACTATCTCATCTTTCTTTAGATGAGAATGGCTGGTGGGTTCGAACTAGTGACCTTTTGATTAGCATACCTGTGCTTTAACCATTGTGTCACCAGAGCTCCTTAGTTAACAGAAATTTAGTAAATTGTCTTTGAGCACATATCATATGCTCCACAAAGTGCTCATGTTAACAAATTACTAGTTTGTTTATTTGTCTGTTTCTTGAGATTTAAAATTTGCACTTCCTTAAGCACATGCTTAGACATTACAGATATGTATGCATCCAATGGTGTCACTAGGGGGTGATGGAGGTGCAGGCCACATGTCCTGGCACTGTCAGAAGGCATGATACCAAAATGACCCCAGGGTCTGTGGCAGCGGGAACAGTGGCAGTGGTGGTGCTGGGCTGGCCAGTGTTGCAGGAGGAGGGGTAGGCAAGGCAGTGGCGTCAGTAAGGTTAGTGTCACCTATCACCCAGTGCAGTAACTCATCACAGAGCCCTGTCGCTATTAGTCAGGATGCAGGCTGGCAAGTTGCAATGCCACCATTGGGCAGAATGGAGGGTCTCATCTTGGGCAATCAGAGAGAGAAGGATCTGAAGGACCCATGGGGGTGGGTCTGGGAGGGGCAGGGCATGTGGCCTGGAGCTCAGATGGAATTGAGCCGTTGGGTTCATCTATGTCTTAGTTAAATGCACAAAAATACTGCAATCAGTTTCTTGTTGAACACCAGTAAGGATTGAACAACAACCATTTTGGAAGGTCACCAATGGAAAAGGATCACTTTTCTCTTGCTCAGCCCGCCTTGACTGCCACTTCTGAACATTATTCGGTCCTTTTTGAAGACAGCACTTGACTGCTAACCAGAAGGCTGGCGGTTCAAACCTACCAGCTACTCCTCAGAAGGAAGGTTGGGTAATCTACTTCCATAGTGATACTGCCTCAGAAACCCAAGAAGGGGTTGCTATGAGTCAGGGACGACTCCACAGCATATAACAACAACAGCAACAACAACCTGTTCTCGTCTAGTCAATTCCCAGTCATAGTGACCTATAGTGAACTAGTGAACTCTAGGATTTCCAAGGCTGTAATCTTTATGGAGGCAGGTTACCATATCTTTCTCCCATGGAGTGGCTGGTAAGTTCCAAAGTTAGCAGCCAAGTGCATAGCCATTGAACCAATAGGCCTTCTTTTTTGAAGTCATATTTCTAGGAAAATTTTCTGTCCTTGAAAGAAGAAAAAAAGAGAGCATTACAAGTAATGCTATTCCTATTCCTTTGTGTCCAATTTTTGTGGATTTATATTAATGTGACAGTGGTGCATGCTAGCTACGGAGAAAGAACAAAAGAAATCATTAATCACATTGCTCTCCTGGATAGCATAATCATATCAAAAGGACTGAAATAGAAAGCAGTAATATTTAAGTTGAAAAATCTGTTGAAGTAGATAAGAATCATTACTGCCACCAGGGGCTGGATTTTACAAAATTCAGGACTGAATTTATTTCATTATCACTGCAGACTCAACTCCACACACTATTTCCTGTCTCCACAAGTGCATACTTCAAACCAACCAGCTGGGGACCAAGGCAATTACATGACAGTGAAGAAATCTGAAAATAGTGCAAATTAATGGCATACAAATGCATTGTTTCCTACTATAAAATGTCCCTAATGCTATTCAACAATTTTTTTTTTTTCTTTCTCTCACTAAACTCTTTTTGAACCTTAGTTCTCTCTGAAGTAGACCTTGAGACAAGAATTCATATGAATTTTTTTGTTTGATAGTTTCCATCCTGACCCTTGGTGGTGGAGTGGGAGGTGATTCAGAAAAAAAAAGGCAACCAAGAAAGGCTGAGATACTGTCATCTACCACGGAGGCTGATTAAAGTTGAAGCAGGTGGCAAAACTCTGATGAGGGGTATGAGAGTTGGGACATGTTTACACTAATTTCCAAGGAGTAATTGGTTGTCTGCTGGGGGGTAGTGCCATCTCTCCTATAACTTTGGCCAACTCTGGTGCTGTCAGAGCTTCTAAGAGGGTCCTCAGGCACTAGGAACATCCCTACAGTTGTAGTATCACACTGAGAGGTCTGAGGAATAGGGACAGAAAATATCTGCCACAGCTTCCATGACCATTCCTTTTAAAACTGATTCCAAATCATACATTTGTTTCTCAAATATCTTATTTTGGTTTGGCTTAGTTTTTTGCCTATCCACTTCAATGTAAGTCAATGCCTTTATTTTTCTGAAACAGATTTTCCAAGAACCGTTAATATTAATTTCTTTAGCTTACTCACCTTATTACTTTTCAGTACTTACAATTGTACCTACTCATGTTTCTACGATTTTCATTTCAAATGAGCTTTGCTACCTAATTCATCTATTTTACATTCATATTTTTCCATTTGTATCCAAAATCCCACCCAACTAAGATTTTGTCTTAACTTAGTCCATTAATTACCTTCTCTTTCTTGTGTACCTTTAAACACTACCTCCTCGTTTACTTTCTCTGTAATCATTTCTTCCATACTAATGAAAAACAACAAATAAAAACTAAGAAACAAGACCAATTTCCTCTCAGGTTATCCTCTCCCGACCAAATTTCTTTGTTATCCTAAGATCTTTTCCAAATTGACTCCATTTACTTGCTCAATTTAATTATTTCAAATTCATTTCTCAATTCACTGCTACCTGCCTCTAGTTGCATAAAAAGCACTGACATCGAGTTGATTCTGACTAATAATGCCCCAATAGAATGGCCTATAACTGCCTCCTAGAATTTCTGAAGCTGTAAATCTTCTTATATTTTTATTTCTTTTATTGTGATTTGGGTGAAAGTTTATGAAGCAAATTGATTTTCCATTCAACAATCCACATACATTCTGTTTTGTGAAATTTATTGCAGTCTTTGCAATGTAACAGAATTCTTCTCACTTCCTCCCTACACTCACTCTTTCCTTTCATTCTTCCTTCTCATCCCCTTCCATTTTCCTAGCTCTATCCCTGGGCAAATGCTGTCCTCTTGATCTCATATGCTAGATTGTTGTAATGAGTGCATACCCTCCTGATACTACTGTTTATTTTTTATGCCTGTCTTTGACAGCTGGTTGAGTCATGGGGGTAAAATTCAGTTCCTAACTTGAAGAGTGTATAAAGGCCATAGTCTCAGGGGTCCAAGCAGTCTTCATCAGACCAATAAGCCTGGTCTTTTTCATGATTTTGAGTTTTGTTCGAGTTTACCATACTGTATCCAGGAACTCTTGGTGTGATCCCTTTCAAAGCAGTCAGAAGTGGTAGCTGGCTACCATCTAGTTCTTATCTCAGGGTCATGGAGACTGGGGTTCATGTGCTCCATTAGCCCTTTGGGTTAATTGTTTCCTACATCTTTGATTTTCTTCACATATCTTTGCTCCAGATGGGGAGAGACCAATAGTTGCACCTTAGATGGCTACTCACTGCCTTTTAAGACCCCAGGCACTACTCATGAAAGTAGGATGTAGAATATTGTCTTTGTGGACTATGTTATGCCAATTGACCTTAGTTTCCCCTGAAGCCATGGTCCTGAACCTCCATACCCAGTGCCTCATTCACTCAAGGTGTTTGTTTATGACTGAGACGTTTTCATAACTTTGTCCCCTGTATGCCCTAATACATTTATATAAATATATAATTAGAGATAGCTTCTGTCAAACCTATATATATATATATATATCTGTGAGGGCAGTCCTATTTACCTTTCACCCCTATTCAGCTTGAGTGCTTATTTATGAATAAACTCATAAATTATTCTTATTAATAATGTTACAGAACTGTGTATGTAATAGTATTCATCTTTATTGCATTTAACTCTTGTGTTCCTCCCTATCTCTTCCACTGCCTTGATCATTTTGTGCTGACCTCATCCTTATTGTTTATTGCCTTTCCCTTCACCCAAGTTAATACGAGTCTACCCTGTAGTTGGCGAAGGCTTTAAATCTTTATGGAAGCAGACTGCCTTATCTTTCTCCTGCCAAGTGACTGATGAGTTTGAACCATCAACCAAAGTGCCTTCCTATGTGTAAAGCAACTTTAAATATCTTCTTTCTCCTTAAGGTCTACTGAAGGCTTGCTTGTTTTCACTGTGTGTAATCTAGTCAGTTCCAAGCCATAGCCACTCTATATAATAGAGTAGAACTGTCCGATAGAGTTTCATAGGCTGTAATATTTATGGGAGCATGGGAGCAGATAGTCTTTTATCCTGTGGATCCTCTGGTGGTTGACTATTGGCCTTTCTATTAGCGGCTGAGAGTTTAACAGTTGTACCACCAGAGCTTATTTAAGGCTGGTTAAAATCTTCAATTTTATTTCCTAAGAAATTTTAAGAAGGAACCCTGGTGATGTAGAGACTACTAACTAAAAGATCAGTAGTTCAAACCTACCAGCCACTTTGATGGGAGAAAGATGATGCAGTCTTCTTGTGTCAAGGTTTATAGCCTTGGAAACACTATGTGGCAGTTCTGTTCTGTCCTATAGGACCGCTATAAGTCAAAATGCACTCCATGGTAGTGGGAAGATGGGTAACAACACAGCCCTAAGCCATCTTATCAGCTTCTCTCTCCTCTCTCTCTCTCTCCATTTCTTTCCCCACCTTTTTCCCCAGATTATTTCCCAGAGTCCCAACTTCTCAAGTTCACTATTCATTAGCCTTTCTTTAAAGGATGTAAATTGGTATATCTTACCTCAACTAGTGACTCAGTAAAACAAACCTATTTCCAGTTAACAAGATCCACCTTCTGATTATGGATTTTCTCCCTTTCACAGCACCAAAGTCATTGCACCAATGTCCTACTGGCTGAATTCAAGTGGCAATTTCAATCATTTTCTTACTGGTTCCCTTCCTTGCACATAACTCTTTTGATTACTGATTATTTTTGA